CTGCCAGGTGAATATTTTGTGTTTATATGAATTATATTCTTTATTTTTCGCTCAAGTGTTTTCTTGTATTAAATTGTATTAATGTTATATTTTTACTTTTTTACATAATAAGACAGAAGTTCCTGAATTCTACTGTTTTCACTTTACTTACATCTAGTGGTTGAACTGTGTTACTGCAGCCGTGTCTAGAGTTTAACTAAGTTCATGGGATTTGTTTTTTCCTGAGAATCTGTGAGGATTTTTTTTTTCTACAGCCAGTGAAATAAGACGACAACATGTCTGTTTTCTTTGTGTCTGCAGGTTCTACAGTCGGCCAAGGAGCAGATCAAATGGTCCATACTGAAATGACGAGGACCAGAAACGGGTCAGAGAATATTTTTAATCTAACAAAGCTATTTTTTCAGAGCTAGCAACTGAAGTGAAGCTCGGCACACGCCTGTCCGTTATTTAACAATGACCCTCCTTAGACAAATGTTATGTATTTACTCAGTGCAGTGTCTGTTTAGTCACAGTGGTGTGATTGGTTCTAGAGCCTGTAGGGAGCGCGAGCTTTAAAATCCCAGACTTTTTTAATTCTGTCCTGCCGTTAGCTTCTCATTTTGACATTTCTGGTTGGAGTTATTATCATTTATTTATTCTATGTCTCATTTTGTAGCAGCACCAATTGTTAGTTTTTAGTTTTGTTTTGTTTCTTCCTAATTTAAGTCTTTAGTTTAGTGTTTTGGTTCCCTGTTTATCCCAGGCTGATTCTTAGCTACACTGGTTTAGCTTCCTGTAAGGTTAGGTTTAGCCATCGTTAGCATACGTAGCCAACTGTTAGGCAACTGTTAGGCAACTGTTAGCTCATTTTGGTCTTTGTGGGTGGGGTTATTTTTAAAAAGTAATTAGTTATAGTTAATAGTTACTTAACCAAAAAAGTAACTGGTTACCAGAGAATGTAGTTTAAATTTAAGTGTAAGAATTAGATTTGTTTTGTTTTTTTTCTAAGCAGGTTTGTTGTTTTGTTTTGTTTCTTCCTAATTTAAGTCTTTAGTTTAGTGTTTTGGTTCCCTGTTTATACCAGGCTGATTCTTAGCTACACTGGTTTAGCTTCCTGTAAGGTTAGGTTTAGCCATCGTTAGCACACGTAGCCAACTGTTAGGCAACTGTTAGCCAACTGTTAGCCAACTGTTAGCCACCTGTTAGCTCATTTTGGTCTTTGTGGGCGGGGTTATTTTTATAGTTATAGTTAATAGTTACTTCACCAAAAAAGTAACTGGTTACCAGAGAATGTAGTTTAAATTTAAGTGTAAGAATTAGATTTGTTTTGTTTTTTTTCTAAGCAGGTTTTACCAGGCAGAACAGCACAGACGGGGACTTACAACAAACTTCAAGTTTTAAAATATTTATTTAAAAACAGACCACAAATGTTAGACATACTGTGCTTCAAGTATTTTCTTCATAACAAATGTACAGGTTAACAATAGGGACTACTTTTAACTATGTGTATCTGCCTTCAAATACTTTAGCTTTGTCCTTTTTGATGCTAAATTGGTAAATTCAAATTGTGTTTTACGAGAACCGACGTTAACCGTCTTCTCCTCCAGGTGCAGAGTTTGTGGACGTTTTTTTCCTGCATCATGTGCAGCGGCGGCAGTGTTTCCTGCAGCTTCTGTGGTGGTGGAGGAAAAAAAACACAATTATCCACGGCTAAAGAAGAACACGAGGTACAAGAGCGTAACTTGACGTTCTTCAGACGTACTGACGCTAATGTACATTAAAATACACAGTACAGTGACGTAACACATACTGGGTGAAGAGTTCTGTCAGGAAACTGGACGTGAAATGTTCTCATCCAGTTCCTGACAGAACTCTTGACCCTTGACCTTTGACCTGGATGACTGAGAATCTACAGAGACACATAATGGTTATGTTACATTAGAGCTCAGCTCTGGACTGGGCTTAAACACATTTTCTTTAAAAGGTTTGTATAAACTACCACAGCTGAACCACTGAAGTTAAGTCACTATATTAGAGCTCCCCTTAGAGGAAGAAAAAGGAACAGCATGCTATGTGTTTTACAAACATGATGCTAATGCTATCTGTGTCTCTGTAGGATCTCTGTCATCCATGTCATTTTATCCAAAAACAGTTACATCAAGGGTGTGAAATGACATGTTAAAGTCATGCAGGCTAAAGGCTAAATGCTAAAATGCTTTTAGACTACTCTGTATAACCACAATTCAAACCAACGATATCATTTGGACAAGTTTGGCCTAAAGTCACATGATCTGTGCACTGATCGACTGTGTCAATGACATATGTTTTTGTAACATTTATTAATATAATATAACAATACTTGTTGACTCTAGATTAATGATGTCTAATTAAAAATGGGAACAAATGTCAATGTCAATTGTAGTAATTATTCTTAAGGAAAATGTGTCTATTTTAAAGAGATTTAAGGCCAAAAAGCCAAAGATATCGTTGTTTTGTTTTGTTTTGTCAAACATTGGATGATATTTAATGGAAAAAAGTTATTTTATCTATGGAATTTTTCTGACTGGAAATTAAACCGAAATAAATGTATCTTTGTTATAAACGTTTTGGTGTGGTTTACTCTAACTAAAAAGACAACAGTGCGCATGAGCAGCTAGAGATGACGACACTGATGGCTGTAGTTACAGGTACAGACCACTAGAGTGCACGCTTTAGTTATATGTGCAGTAAAAATGCATCTCTTACCAGATTGAGTGGTGTCCTGGGCGGGATTGTGTTTTAGCGCCCCCCACTGCTACGATTACAGCATCGGACCTTCCAGCAGATGGCGTCCTTGGCGATGCTAAGAACCATCTGAAAAAGAGAGAGAAAAAATAATAAATAAATGACTGAATAAAAGAAAAACATCACATGAACATTAGTCTCTGTAGTAGTCTCTCTCTCTCTCTCTCTCTCTCTCTCTCTCTCTCCGCCAATGGCTGGGATGCAATTAACATACAGCAGCTAATTGGCCAGAGCACTGACAATGACAAATGGAGGAGAACCTGATTGGATCATTTACATCGTGACGTCGAAGAGAGAGAGAGAGAGAGAGAGACAGGAGGGTGGGCGGGGGAGCAGAGAGCGAGAGAAAAACAGAGAGAGAGAGGGAGGGAGAGAGAGACAGGAGGGTGGGCGGGGGAGCAGAGAGCGAGAGAAAAACAGAGAGAGAGAGGCTGGGCGGGGACTATGACGGGGATAAAGAGACATCAAGTCAGAGAGAGAGAGATGGGGGGGTTGGACCAAAATGAGGGAGGGTCAGATTGAGAGAGTAAGAGAGAGAGAGTGGGCGTGGGAGGGGTCAATGACAGGGATAGAGAGACATAAGACACAGGAGAGAGAAAGATGGGGGACGGG